AAATATTTTATTCGTACACAAAACTAGTATTATTTGAAAGAGCTGATAAGCAATATTCAACCATTACAGGTCTAAGTTCATCACACAACATGGTTAGTTACACAAATATTGGCGGTGAACGCGACAAATTTTAAAAGAATAATAACCCCCACAGTAGTTGTTTGTTTGTCTGTATTCCTATCTGCAAGTTTCAAAAAGTGAAGCAGTAGAATGGTGGTAAGAAGGGTGGCACGGTATTACCAGCTTGGCACATAATGCCCGGTCATGAATGTTTTCAATACTGCTGAGTAGTTTATAATTTACTTTACAGATACCGGTAAGAGTATTTTAACACTACTGTTGTATTAATGCTAACACTCAAGGACACTACCAACATACCTATAAAACCACACAATATACTCAGAATATTGTAAATAAAATAAATTTTAACAATGCAACACATTCCGGTTACCAGCCTAATCACAGCTCCTATATACCAGAAAACTCTACACTTGATAATCATACTAATCAATAAAGATAACCACTATTTACTTACACAGTGTACTTTAAATCCACTCACTATGAAACTTAAAGTAGACTACCATAATATGATCAGTCATCAATGATAACCTCACACAAGTAGTTAAGAGTCAGATACAGTACTACAGTATCATCAATCAGCTACAGCAATTGAACCTCTTCATTCTCTGTTCCAAGTTACATTTACGTCTATGCAATCCCAGCCTATACTCAACGGGTATATATAACCTCTTAAGTTTAAAACCATACTTTCTCTTACATTATATAAAATCAGCCACTATTAAGCCAACGAATTACCCAGTTAATCAAACACAGATTTAGGAGCTTATTGATTCCAGATTTCAGTGGCTGTTGACGTTTGGTTGATTTAATTGCCTTTAAAAATATTTTCGCATATAATAGATTAGTTAGAGACATTTAAGACTTTACTTGAGGACGAGAAGAAATACCTTGATTACGATCCTGAACAGTGCCTTTATGTCTAATATTAACTTGACTGCTTATCTCTTCCAAACATCAGACCCTCCACAATGCCTCACACTCTTGACTGCATTTATATTAACATCATCGAATAACAGCAAACACCAGGAGAGCTCATTAGAGAATTTTACCATTCATGGATTTTGCAGAAACTAATCTAGTTCGTCCTGTCAGGCAGCTTCAGCTATTTTAATAACACAATTCGACAATGACTCTCTTGACACGTGTCAGATGCCGACGCATATTCCAAGTGTTATCCAAGCGTGACCGAGGTATATACAGCACAGCACGGGAGATTCCCCCCCCCCTCCCCTTCCAACGCCACACACTTGTTCAGCAAGAGGAATCGGAGGATGTTATACGAATAAAACACAGACTCGTGAAAAGTGCCTATAAATAACCCATAATACAATGAAATAACAAAAATCACGTCATAAAAACAAGTACTGGACACAACACCACACGTTATCCGCAAGAGTAATACTGTACTGTAAATGTTAAGGGACGATTGGTAACAGTGAAAGTTTGATAAAGATAAATCTACGAGGACCGCACCATGGTGATAACTTATCGCTAATCTATGGTGGCCCGCTACTACTAAAATGCTTCCACCGTCAGAATATAGATAAACGGAGGCGACCTTCAATAATATAATTAAACATGATACAACAGTGCCACGGTACTTTTACTAAAGGTATTTAGGCTTCAAGAAATTTAACGCCCGCCATAGGGACACACACAGACGATCGTCACAATTTCCCAAAATGCACTTGACTGGCTGTTGCTGCTGACGAGACAAATTACAACACAAAACGAGGAGTACAAAAGTGCATTAGGCAAAATGATTAATGTCAATATGTCGAGTATCTGAATGTAATCATACATGCAGATATAAAATTAACAAATTGAAAGGAAATGAATGATGTAGCAAAATTGTACTATTCTTGGTGCTAAAGTTTGGGGGATGTCATTAAAACTGTACAAATCATATTAAAGATTTATCAATTCCAGTTATCTAATCATTAAACATATAGTACAGTATCTCATTTGTAGCCTGACCTTCTTGTACTGGGGACGGATGGCAGGAAAACCAGTGGAGTTCCGGCGTACCTTGCAACTACTCATGGTGTCAACAGGTACGAGAATCATTAACATTGAGTCAACAGCCTAAGTTCGAGTAACAGGTTTGTATTAGTCCTGTGAAAAATCCTCTATATTGGCCACACGTCGTTACATGAAATTATATGAAATCTTTTTAACACTGACATTAAAAAGGTGGATTTCATTCTTCGAAGTTTTAAATTTCACTATACTAGAGGACCGGCTTCAATTGTCTTTATTTCTCATTAATTTACTATGTAGCAGTTTAAAGTACGGACATATCCCTCTTATTGTTCATAACGTGCCAATAAATAACGCCATGTGAGTTACCATCAGCCTGCAGTGAGCGGTACATGACCAACCCAATCCCCGACCTAAGACCTGTTTCATTATAACTATTAATCAGGTACAGCTAAAAGTTTGGAGACAAGCTCACTTCCCACCCTCATGTCAACATATCGCGAGCTGTCAACAAAAGATAAGAGTTAAAAGTTGTGTAGAGCCGATACACAATAACTATCTGGCAGTGGCCTAATACCGTATGCAAACGACTACCGTATATTATTTTCTCAATTTCGTAAGTTTCACGAATGAAAAACAAAAATTCCATTCAAAGTAATAAAATCTGTTTCAACATAAAAATTCCGTGAATTCCGTCCGTTTTCCATGAACGCGGAAAATCACTGGCCTAAAATCAGTGCCATAACCGACTGAGGTGCATTGTCACAATAAATGTTATGACAACACAAAATTCGAATATTCAACCTCACACTAACCTTATTTATGAAATAGCTAATTGGAACTCGATTACATTTACTCAACAATGTCAAGTAAACTGCTAATATAACTACGACGCAATCGATCGATGACGCAAACTAAGTTGGGGAGTAAAAAAAATACAGTGCCGGCACCAACAAATAGTGTGTTTATTATACCATCTCATTTGTTGCTAAAAGTAAATATATTAATTGGGATTCACAGGTGATGCGGCTGTGTATATACTAAAACAAGTGGACTCAGGGAAATTATCGCCTTTCTTATAACCCAATTCTTGAACAGTATTCTGTAAATATGAGACGAACGACATGCAAGATTGAGCACGTAGATGCCACTAACATCGACATAAATCAGGTCGCAGTCGGCGTTCAAGTGCCTCTTTCACACAAAAAACAACAAATAAACATCAGTAACTATAAACAATATGGTCGATTCCTTTCATGTTACAGGTACCGTACCGGTACGTAATAAACCCACAAACTCTGAGGCATTATGGGATTTCATGCTCCCTTCAGGTGATTACTCTGATAACGACATGAGCAAGGGACCTTTTTTGGTGTGAATATCTCCAAGTGAGAAGGGACTGAAGTTTCTCCTACATGTAAACTACAAAGACAATAGGCGCTTCCAAGGATGCAGTTATTATAAATACAGAAATACGGGGGGGGGGAGGGGGCTCATTACGGGAAAGACAGGCTGATAGTGTTGTGTGGGTTCAGGAAAATGTTAAGTGGTGGAGAGCGCGGGAGAAGTCTCGCCCACACTCCAGTCGACATGGTACCCTTGCTCTCCAGCACTCTTCCACATTATCATCCTCCCTGCACAGCCCAAGTATGCTGTTATCCTATTTAAGCCCATAGTACAACATGAATGCTCTTTTTCGCTAGATACAAAGTATAAGGTCATGGAACACCTGTTAAGCCGGCAGGCCACAACAAAGACAAGTAGTTTGTTGATCGGACGTACGTGTAGAAACCCATGATTGGGCAACGCAAGAAATCCGGATTCTTTTCCAGAAACCGCATTCACAAACAATATCATCATCAAAGGGAATTATCCCTGCACAGTACTCTAAATTGCTGTGTGACCGAGTGTACTGTGAGTCTATTAGTACAGTACTTGTATTTATGTAAAAGTTTATGTACGTGATTTGTGTATGCACACAAGCAATTGCACGGATGTATTTGTATTGTGTACACACAATCAATATATATCACTACCTTTATAAATGAAGCGAGGTTGTGTGTGTGTTGTAGGGAAGCCTGCAGAGGAAGGCCCAAACCACCCTCCAAACCGTTCACTCAAATTAACTGATGTAACCATTCCCACTAGGCCAAATCATACTCACACTACATAAATAAGTAAAAACATTTGGTTTTTATTTCCAAAATAAATAACGGCAGTTACAATGCTATGCTAATACAGACAACCTTTCGACATGTTCCTGGGCTGGCGACTCGACCTAGCACCCCAGTCACTCCCTCCCCTTCCTTCCTTCCCACAAATAACTTCCTCACATCCATACACTGCTAGCAGCACGTATACATAGGGGCAGGTAATATATCAATATTGCCGTTGACGAGAATGAGCAGCCCCAGACACAAGGAAAGCAAAAACTATAAAACCCCCGACTGGATTTCACCTAGAGATTACCCCCAGCCCCGGCCTCCCCCCTCCCACCCATTACTCCGCCGAACTCTCTGTTCCGTGCATGCGATTCTCAACCTTACTGACCTGACAAGTCCGCAAAATAAATCCCATTTTCGGCCACCCGGACTCTGTGTGTCACCCATTGGATGCTTATTTTCGTTTCAAAATATTACATTGAAAGCCTAATTCAGTGAAGAAGTCCATCCCGTGTATTTCCCGGACACAACTGCTAATCTTATAATGTAGGGCAAGCAAATTTCGTTGCGATTGTTCCCTGAGCTTTACACATACATGATTTTGAGACCGATTGACCTGGAATTTCTAAGAAGATTTTGTATTTTAACCTACCATATAGGAACCCACATCACAAGCTTTCACATGGCTACACGGGAGACTATGTAGGAACGGTCTAGATAAGAGAAATAGAGCAGATATTACAACAACAGTTGGCTACTTTCAAACTCGGTACTTACCAGGGCGAAGAAATTGGTGTGGCAATCTTCTAAGCTTGCCCCGTTTGTCTGAGAGTGCGTCGACATCATATATCCATTTTTGACACTACACTTGGATTGGTATCAATCCACACACTATGGATTAATCACTTATAACCACCAGATAGCCACAATCACTCCATGGATCTCACAATAATGGCGGATAGGAAACGAGATACGTTCCAACAATGCTCTTACCACCGCTGTCAAAAGCCGTCTTTTACATTTATTGCATTACCGGAGCCGCTGCTCTCAAAACAACCATGAAAATAGACGAAAAATATAACCCGTTGTTTTATATTATATGAAAAATGTATACTTTCAGTTTTATACTCGTAAAATGAATATATGTTTGAATTCTAGGGAAGAAGATGTACAGCAGTGAGGTTTAGCCCAGCTGTGATCAGACTAAGGCGGTGATTGGCTGGCGGGGGTCACGTGACAATGGCTGCCTCCATCAGAAGTGTTCGTCTGCTGCCGCCAACACAACTCACCACACACCGACTCAACTATGTGTCGTTAACGAAGCCTCGGGTAACTGGTCACTTTATATTGTGTTGTAGAATTATTTTCATTGATATAACGACTCTACAATACTCGGTGGTCACAGTAACGCGCGAGTCGGGTGCAGTTTGGTCTTGGGAGGCAAATTTGTTGTATATAACTAATGAAAGTTAGATTTGGTAATATAATGTATTAGACTTACAGTTTACAACTATATATTAGATAAATAGTAACTTAGTAAACTCAAAACTGTAAATATTGAAGATGTTTTTCAAATTTTCAGAAGTTAAATAACCTTATGTTATGACTGCTGGTCTGGGGAGTTACACAAGCTCTCTGTTAAACTAACTTTGTTATTAATCATCTAAAGTAAATTGATTGTGTAATAGGGCAATTGTTGGCAGTATCATGGTTCTATTTTATAATGGTGACTACATGATCATACAGTACAGACCCAGGTAAACATTACATAACTTAACTAATATTTAATCAATGATATTTGGTTCTTTTTGTTTGTTTTGAGATGTGATGTGTTTATCAGATCCAATAATTGATAGTAGACCATGCTATTTTAGAGTGATGTCACCATTAACTGGATGGAAATAGATTTGATAATGACTTCAACCAATATCTGGTGTGGTGTTTGGGGTAATATACAGTACTGTAGGTGTGGGCTATTATTCTACAACACCAGCCTACAAGCCTAAATTTTATTCCGGTGTTTGCGGAATAATTACCTCAATATATAGGTAGGTTAATGATCTTGTGAAGTGAAATATCAAGTTGAGATAGCTATTAGTCTAACTGTTACTACTGTATTATGTAATTGCTGGGATTTTATTAAAGGCCATGGGTACTTGCACACTTCAGTGCTTATAACATAACCTAAAATAGTTCTGATACAATAAATCACTTTTAAGTAAGTATTGCAAAAATAGTTGCAGAGTGATATATAATTTATGATTGGCAAGTCAAGAAGTAATATGATGAGGTAAAAGAATACAGAAAAGGTGTAGGTTAGTATAATCTTTTTCTTCGATATATTTAATTTCTTTTTACTCTATTTTTTAGCACACTAGGCCCCGTTGTGGGTCGATGACCTGTGCCCGGGTGGGCGATTCCTCGTATAAAATAAAAAGCACCTCTGTTTATTTTACAACATGGTAGTACAGTACCATGGTTTTAGATGGAGTCAGGGAAGGCATTTGATGTAAAGTGTGCAAATACTGTACCACATCCATTATTTTCACTAAAGCGCAAATACAGTACTACAGTATACAGTTCTCGGGTTTTTATTTCGTGGTCCTATATTATTCGTGGATGACACCCTGGATGTACCCAAGAATGTCTGTGGGTAGTTTTAAAGTTGCCGGCATTTTTGCGGCTGGGAAAGGGAGCCATTCGTTCTAGAGATTGTAATTTCCTATGCCTGTATTGTAAATGTGTGTGTGTGTGTGTGTGTCTGCACACACACATGCAAATAAATAATAATTGGAAAATCCTTTTACAAATAATTAAGCAAATTTATTAAAAATGTGACAGTTTACCCTCAAGTCCGTGCTTTATCACTTTATTAATAAAGCACGGACTTGAGGGTAGACTGTCACATTTTTAATAGATTTGTTTCTGATTATTTGTGTGAGTATTTTCCAATTATTATTTATTTGTATGTGTTTTGTGTGTGTGTGTGTAGACACACACATACACATATATACAATACAGGTAAAAGAAATAATTCTCCTAGGGGCAAATACATAAAGGTAATATACATTTCTTTGTACACAAGTAAAAATGTACCCCCCCCCCCCCATTGGTCCACGGATTTGGCGATTCGCGGTTATTTTGAGTACCTAACCCCCGCAAATTTGGTGGGCCCCTGTACTGTACTTCCTTTATTTAAAGGGTGCAAAGTCACGAGTGCCATTATTGATGTTCTGCGAGACTGAGAACTTTCCAAAGTATCATGTGTATACGGTACTGTACTGGTACTGCTATATTAGTATAGTTAATCATTCATTAACCCAATAACTGCGGCGTTTGAGAAATCGAGGGTATCCCATAAACTCCCTAAAATTTACATGATTTTTTTTTAAATTACAAAATTAAATACTGTATATAAAATTTAGAAGTTATAGAAAAAATTGTAAACTTTGTACTCTTCATGGATGCCGAGTTATAAGTTTATGAATTTGTGATGTAAGAGATGGTTGTGGTGGTGCAAAGTGGGTGGTGAGTCAGGTTGTGGCATCATAGCTGTGGGTACAGAGCCACTGAGGACAGGAGGATGATGATGCATAAAAATTCCAAATCATTCCAAGTTGATGGTAGCAAGTTGAACTTGTATCTCACTCTTGAGTGTCTACCGGTCATCGATTTTTCATTGTTAAGTATGATATTTTGCACACAGCTTTGAATTCATAATGCCAAATGCCTTAAGACAACAATAGAGCGATTGTTGAGTGGACCAAACTAACCTACCTAACAACCTAAACATTAATTATATTATTTCGGTTACTTTGGCTAATTTTATGAACGATAAATTATATAATGTAGCAGCACCAGTCCATACAGTACCTGATACATCAGGCACGTCGAAAGTCAGCATTGGTACACGTGATTTTACGTCCATTAAATGTTTGTTTACATGATGGTGAGGCTCCATAGGGACACTTTGCACACAATTTATATACAGTGGGGTATGCTATAACGAATCTAATTGGTTCTAGAACCTTGTTCGTTATAGCATTCGTTCGTTATAGGATTAATCCGTTCCAGGCCCCCAAATATAACCACTTAACACTGAAAAATATAATATAAAATTGTAAAAATTGTAAAAAAGTGCATAAATATGCATCTAAACCCCTGAAATAAAGAATATTATTAATATTTGTAATAAAAAAACAATAAATTAGAAAAAATAAATAAAATTAAATAATGTTCGTTGTAGAAGTTTCGTTCGTTATAGCATTCTCAATTTTATAGGTAAAACCGTTCGTTATAGGAATATTCGTAGTAGGATCCGTTCGTTATAGCATACCCCACTGTAATATTTTGTTTTTCATCTGAATTTTCATTCTTTAAGTAGCCTAACATTCAGCCAATCATAATATCATTAATAGTTAATGCTATCATGCTTGCCAGATAATAGCAACATTGTTTTACTGGCTGGCTCTAAAATAACTGCTGTGAACAGTGTTTACATATTTTGTTGTTAGTTGCTCCAAAAGTGGATTGACGTGTGAAAAAAAACCCTTCAACGCCGATAAAATTAGCTGGTGACTTAATTTCTGATTTTGAACAAAGGCGTTTTACTATTAAGTAAGATATTATGCAACTGTATTGGATACAATGAAAACTAAATATATGAAACAAGCTACAATAAAAGCAAGATATAGTACATATGATTAATAAAAAGATTTGAAGTACAATATTTATTTGTTTTCCATAGCACACGGTGTTAACAATTACTGTACGTACTGTACAGTGCATTATAATTTTTTACTTTCAAGACCACAGAGTCGATATTGATAAAAGCTTAAGTTTATTTAAAGGTTTATTGTTTCATAAGAGAAGTCAGTCATGGTTGTATCATAACTGAAAATTTTCCTTCATCAGCAGAAACAATGGCCTTCACTAGATGTTGCCAATGCATCATGCATCGTATTGCTAATGTAATCACACCTTGCACAACCACTCCTCATATTGCAGTTGTATGTTTATAACCCAAAGGTTTCCTTCACAAACATACGGGAAATAAATTTTAGGCGCAAGTTTCAATTACTACATTCAGTCATGTATTCTTGGAATCCAAGCTATATTAGTAGTGGTGTAACCATCCTTGCATATACTGAATACAGTAGTCTTCTTAGAGTGAAGTGTAAACACCTGTTTTAAGTTCTCCCCAGAACCACAGGATTGATATACGTACAGGTAACGATAATTGAAACGTGGCTCACATTATAAACGGCTAGTTCAGATTCTCATTGATATTTTACAGCAGTTACTGTATTCACAAAGAAAAAATTATGACAGTAATGACCCAATGAAATTTATAAGATGAGGCTTTTCATTGTGTTTTCATTATACAAATCATTATTACTGTACAATATTAGTATAATGGTGTTTTATTATTATTATTAAGATTATTAATTGCTTCAAAGATTGAACATATTTCTTTTGATCAGCAGTGTGTCCTACAATGCAGATTGTCATCATCTGCACCCGACACTACAAGTCAAGATGATATCCTGCCTCCTAACAGAAGGTTTTCGTTTGATGCAGAATCACTAGCTTCTAGAGGGTAAGAGCGATGTACAGTACATATAATGATTGTCTTGGCTTGTAAAGGAATTTATTTTCCCGTTAATGTTGAAGTTGTTAATGTACTGTAGCTAAAGAGACCTCCATAATCCTGTCATTATATGTTTGGTTTTAAATGAATGCTTGAACCTGAAAAATAATTCATGGAGTTACTTAAGTACTCAACTTTCAGTCTTTTGGGTTGAATAAGGAATTTATATACAGGACCTGTACTTTTTTTTTTAAGAAATATACTTTGTGCACTTTTAAGTAATGTAAACATTTTAAACATTGTTCTGTAAGTATGGTCTGCACATAGTACGGTACAGTGTATGTGGTAACAAAAATTCGACTTAAGAACGTTCTCAGGAGCGTAACCCGGGGATCCCCTGTATGGTAAAGCCTTTGGCACACAAGGAGACAGTGTGAAGGAGATCATAATGATTTATGTGAATTATTACAGTGTTTAATTACTGTATATACACAGTTCCACAATATGTATTCTTACTTTTGTTTTATTACAGGTATCTTCGCAGTCAGATGCCATATTCTCCTCCAGAGGATATCGAGAATGAAGTGTTAAGAATATGTAAGGAGCTGTTAAAGAGCACAGATTTGCACACTCCCTTCAAGGATGCAAACACCAAATTCATGGTGTTGGCAGAGTGCTCTAAAGCTTACAATCACACAGTCCCAAACTCTCTCATGCACAAAATTACAAGTATTGGTAAGTTTCCTGATTTTCATGAATTCTTCAACATTACCAATTCTTGTTCTTTCATCTGTGCCTAATATATATACTACATTGACTACGTTTACTATACAGTAATCACATGACATAAAGCTGTTGATGCAAGAACTGCATTTAAAATGGAAATTTTACAGATGTTTACCAACAAATTTGATACAGGCTGACCCCCTCTAATTTGGCAACCTAGGAACCAAGGCTGTGCTGGGCAATAGAAATTTCCCTTAAATAGAAAGTCAGCCCTGAATAGTATATGATGTTATACACTACAGTATCAGCCTGTGCTACACTAATGTTTAAATAATTAAAAGTTTCCCTTTTTCAAGTTGTACTCGATAGAGGAACCAACATTGTACAGTGGGGTATGCTATAACGAATCTAATTGGTTCTAGAACCTTGTTCGTTATAGCATTCTTTTGTTATAGGATTAATCCGTTCCAGGCCCCCAAATACAACCACTTAACACTGAAAAATATAATATAAAATTGTAAAAATTTTAAAAAAGTGCATAAATATGCATCTAAACCCCTGAAATAAAGAATATCATTAATATTTGTAATAATAAAACAATAAATTAGAAAAAAAAATTAAATAATGTTCGTTGTAGGGGTTTCGTTCGTTATAGCATTCTCAATTTTATAGGTAAAACCGTTCGTTATAGGAATATTCGTAGTAGGATCCGTTCGTTATAGCATACCCCACTGTACATTGTGCATACGTTTTGAACAAAAACACTGGTTCAACTTTTTCAGCAGCTCTATTTTCTATAGCATAGTTATTGTATATCTCTACCTCTTGGGGAACTAGAGTGGGAAGTATTTAATGATCACTTATAAGACATTATCTGCTGTGAATTGATAAAGTGGGTCCCATAGACATGGCTGTCAATTAAAGCAGCATGTTTAGCACTCAACTTGACTGCCTTCACTTCCATAGCATTATTTGCAGTTGGGTGAACTGGGAGTGCCAGGTGAACCAATGATCCTTGAGGCAAGACCTGTATCCATTTAGGGGTAAAGTAATAATGAAATACTTCACTTATAACTCCAGCAGCATGCTGAAACCACAACAACAATGGCTATGTAAATAATTATGAGCTGGGTACAACAGGCACACACACTGCCATGTGGTCAACCACACAACTACATGGTGGTTAAAACTTTTAAAAGCAAATTCCTGGTCAGTGGAATGCTGGATAAGAGAGAGTCAGCCTCTATTAATAAGTATCTATGTACTGTACATGTACTTGACAGTTTTACTTTATGAAATAATTATTCAGTGGGACTAACTACATTATGGTCATACTGAATAAAGAATGTGTGTTCTGCATAAATTGCTCATTGGGTGAATTCTCACAAAATGAGATCTGTTTTCCAATAGCATCCTTGGTTAGAAACTGAGATGCGTTCCAGCCCAATGATTTCTACCCAAAACTCGTGTTATTACTGAGATGAACTCCAGTCCAAAGAATTTTATCCCCAAAACCAAGCACAGTAATATTTAACTTGAATTCTGATGTGATAGTGAAAACTTTAGTCACCAGAACTAAAGATTTATGCTGATCTTGGTGGCCAAAAATTTATGGTATAGAAAACAAGTCTCTAAGTGAACCAAATCCCACTTCCTCACTGATAAAGCATAACTATCAGCTGCCAAAAATCACCACATCCTGCCTCATGTATTTCAGATATTTTTACAGTGAGCATGATTCTATTTACTTAGTCCATATTGCTTTAGGTTTCAAAGATGTTTGATATGATGTACGTTCAAAGCATTGGAAATTTAAAGCATGAACATTACGCCCACTGGCATTTGTGTTTATTGCCTCACAATTGTTGCTGGTTCAGTTGTATTTAATGCTGAATGATATTTTTACATTAAACATGGAATTTTCTTGGGAGTTCTTTAATATTGTATCTAAAAATCTACTATAAACACAGGAGATTGTGGTTACAGAGAGGTACATGAGCATGTTAAAATGTAGACGTATGGATGTGATTCTCAAACTGGGGTCCGCGAAAAGTTTTTGAGAAATATTGCGTTTAACGTTTGAGAGAGATTTGGCGATTACAATTCGCAGGATATTGTATTTTGGATTTGGGTTGAAATGAACAAATGCTTTGGACTATGATTTATTCTTTGATTATTGACAATATTTGTATGCATCATGGTGTATAAGGGGTCCTTGGTTGAAAAAAGTTTGAGAACCCCTGTGTTAAAGGACAATCTTAAGGTAACCTCACATTGAACAAAAATAGCCATCCCTCAGCTTATTGCTCTTCCCTCTGGCACATAGTGAGTGGGAAAGGTGATTAAGATTTAAGTTTTAAGTGAAAAGGTGATAAAGGGACCAAGTATTAATTAAAACTGAAAAAATGGAGGATGATAAATATCCCTAATTAGTCACTGTACATTATGTCAGTTGTGAGAGAAATGGGAATTAAAACCATATTACCCAGTGTCTTGTTATATCCAGGAAGATATATTTGGGTGTTCATTGAGACCCTGCTGCCAGCCAGTTTTAACAATTCACCTAACTTAAATTTTTTTCATTTTCCCCCCTCCCTCCAAAATGATTATCCTGTAGTACTATCCATGTCCAATATGAGTCTGACAAGTGGACGAATATCTTACATACTAGTAAATTAAGAAGTTATGAAGACAGTAGATCCTTAAACATTTTTAAAGTACAGTATCTCCAAAGACAGGTACAGGTATTATATTAATATGCACATTTTTAACCCACAGGAGAATTGGTGACGTTTTATAAAACACCCATCAACACAACTGTCCCATTGAACATGATGAAGGAATTTGACCTACCCAAGAATCTTCATGTCATATATAAATACACCAGGTTCCACCCAGGTATGCTGCACGTTGGGTTTCTTTATAAGGAAAATAATTGTTTTTAAAATGGGCTACTGCAATAACTAGCTTGGTCATTGGCTGCATTAGCCTCACAGGACAGGCAGAAGCATCTCACAATTCATTAATCAATTGAGAGGATTTATACATACAGACAGAACGTCAGTAGTGCATTGATTACTCCAAGATTTTTGTTAATGTCACCCAGGCAGTGATACACTGAATATGTTATATAGGAGACGGGAAGATGGTAATTAAAAGCAATGTATTCAGTTTCTGTGATTTAAAGAATGTACATCTTAACTCTATTTCTTGTCAACAGTTTCAGATACTGTACTGTGTGGTAAAGTATATGAATGTGATGTGTTTGCAAATGGAACAAAGGATTACAAATTGAGTCACAGCATAGCAGGAGGAAAATCAATAGATGCATTAAGAAATGTTTGGACTGGAAACTAGTGTCAAGGGAGGAAAAGTTGGCGACGTACTATACAGGGAAATTGTTAAGCAAACATTAAATGAGTGTGAATTCAAAATGAATTAGAAACAATAGAAAAAAGGTGAATGAGTGCATTGTGTAGGGTGAATGAAGCAGAAAATTAAAAAAATATGGAAATGAGAGATGTGGAGAAGAAAGAAACTTGAAAAAGAAAACTGACTAGGGTTTGCTTTGATAATGTGAATATTAATGCAATGAGAAGTGAAAGAATGGGAACAACTAAAATTTTATAGGTAGATGATAGGAGAGGGAAAGACCAAGAAGATGAAAAGATGGGGTGAAGGAAGCACTACAAGTATGGGAATGAACATCCAGAAAGCAGTGTGTACATGAGTGACTGCAGAATATGGTGTTTTGGGGATGAATGTGCTGCTGATGGATAATGTTCAGCTATGTGGAATGGCATGGACAAACCAGACAGACATATGTATGTGACCTTGCTGTGGAAGGGAAACACCATACCCTAACAGAACACATGATAGTAGTAAAAGTGAATGAATGACTGCAATTAAACAGTCCTTTGGTTGTTCTTGATAATGGCAATTCGGCAGTCCAGCACAGAAATGCTTGAAAGAGTATAATAAATGGTTGGGAGTTATTTTGAGGTATCAAAATAGGAAATCAATGAGGATACAGATTTGCTGCCAACTCCTTTGTTACAAACAGCATGTGGCCATTTTCCACTTTCTACCATTGGTCCCTCACCTGTACCACTAATCAGTACTTTTGTCTTTGGCACATTCACAATCTGGCCCTGACTCTATCCCATCCTTCCATTTCTTAAATTTTGCCTCTGTTTCTTCAACACTTATCATCCATCACCAAGAATAATAATTTTCTGTTTTATCTTTAACAGAGACGGACACCATGTTTGGAGGAGTATCTGCTTATACCAAAGACTCGACTATTGTTCCGGGTCTCAAGAATAAGAAACGATATCCAGGTTACCAAGCAAGATCAACTTGGCCCTATCAGTGATATTTTTGTGTTTTATTTATTTTTGTTATTATTATTGTTAACATTGTTCTATAGTGTATATAGTAAAAGGTTATACACCCCCTTTTTTAATTGATAACATGATTGTCATGAAGCATTATGTAAACTGGCGGTATTGTTAATGAATTAAACTGTACAATCTTTTATCGTGTTTTGTATTTTATATTTTGATATTAATATTAAAACAGTTTATTTAGCCAGGAAAATACAGATCCAGAGTGGATAATAATAACAATATTGACATGGCTGAGCCAGTAGAGAGGTTTTGCCTATTCCTTGATTGGTCTCATTGAGTCTACAGTTGTAAGTAATTTTGCTTGCAACATGGTACCTTATGTAACTTGTTTAATGAGGCATGTAGTTATGCTAATAGTAATTCTTTCTGATTTTGAGAATTAGTTTGATTATTAGTCTCAAAGAGTTTGGTTCTGGTGTTGAAATAGTGAGATAAATGTTCAGAGGAGTCATCTTAACAGTAGGTAAAGGTGGGATAGTTAGCTTAGTGTGCACTTATGACCTGTGTGTTTTAGTGCTCATTAGTGCCCCACTTGTAGTAAGTATTTCTGTACAGGTATCTCTTCTTGGTGGAACCCACTGTTGTAGTTGATGCAATTTTAAATTATTGTGTTACTTGGATTTCATTGGCCCATGGTAGCAGTTTTCTTGGAGCCTGGATCAGTCAATTATGTTAAACTCCTTTTCATTGGATAACCTTAAAGTAGACTGACGGACAGGCTCGACCCTGAAATGGTATCTTACGATCAAGGAAAGTGACTGGTGTGGTGCTCACAAACTGTTGTGATGCCAACCACTAATATTAATGGTTTATATGGGGCTTTAGTTTCTTAGGTTTATTGGAATTTCTGGATCACCGCTTAATTTTTTTATTATTATTATTACATATCCCCTTGTGTAAACACTGAGGCTGACAGGAGAGGGCAAGAGTAATTATTGCATTTGTTGAAAAGAGTCATATAAAACTTATCTATTCACCAACATAGGCAGATACTTGAGACCATTTTGCTTATGAATTTGTGATAGTTTCACACTAATCTGCAGATTAGTTTGAAATTATAAATCTTAGATACTTTAAAATACATTCATAAGAGTGGAAAAGCCAAAACCAAGTTGACAGTGTCCCTGTTAAGAGTATAGTAATAAATGTGTCATAATACTTTACTGAAGAAACAAATTAGAGCTGAGTTTGTGAAACATAATACACTCAGTGATGCATTGTGCATATACTGTACTTGTTGTTTTTAACCCTTTCAGTCCTAAGTTTGGTCTGTTTTTGCATCCCTTCCCCAGCCTTAGTTTTTTAATTGGTCTTGTAAAGTAATTAAACAATGTTAAAAGCCATTAAACACCACAAAAGAAAGAAGAAATCTTTGTTAGCCAGTGCAGTCCCTTTGTTTTCTTAGTACTGTACTGTAGTGTACTATAGTTTGGGCCACTATGTCTTCCCAGCATTCCTTTTCCTGACAGGTTGTTTATATACTTGAGCCAAACTCCATTTTTGTCATACTCCTCTATATCACTACCTTCCATCAAAAAGTGGTTCCGTTCCCAACCCTGTAGTTGCCTATCTATTTACATTTACATCTACTAGTTGCATAGGTGTCATTCACGACGTAATTCAGTGCACGTTCTGATAAATGTCCTTTCATCATGATGTTTGTTGGGTAACTGAGCAGCTGTGAAATTTCTGAGGGTGAATAATTACAGCTTGTTAACGCTCATAGGAGTGTTATTGGTTTGTTGCTGGAGAAATAAACCCTCAACGTTGACGCGTACCATATAATTCGGTCAAAACCTGTTAAAGAACATTTCTCATATAACAAATGCTGTTATCTCAGGACACATCATATGAATAATACAATCAATATACAGTACATAGCCTGTTAACATCTTAAATATAACTCGCATGTTATAACTATTGATACAGGAGACAATTGGTATAATATGATCAAATTACAGTACACAAATATACTTATTAAAGTTATTTAGAGTTTCTTCGCAGATTCTAATACTTCACGATCACTCACGTTTTAGGGTCTAGTGGTCTGAACCAACGTGTTGTCTGGCCTGTAGAAATCAGTAGACTACCCTCAAGGGCAATCTCAGCCCGGAGGCGAGGGCCATATGTTTTCGTATTGAAACACCTCGGCAGATTGGTCAGCAAATTCGTTGTCAACACTATATCTCTTATCTCGCCCCCCTCTCTCTCTCTCGCCTAGTTTATCTTATTATGGTTATCCCTCTCTTTCTCTCTCTCTTCTAGCTTATCTTACTGTGGCGGTAACACAGCTGATGAAATAGCTAATGCATCATTTTATAACTCGGTTACTTCCGAATACTTGAAGCAGTGTGAAACATGTCTGTCTCGTTCGTGCATAGGACTCTAGTCTTAATGTATGAGGTATGTCGGTAACGCTGGAAGGCTTAATAATACCACACACCTAAAATTGTATAGACGTATGATCATAATCATAATTTTTTATGGCCATTTTCTATGTTTTCATGGGTTAGCCACGATTACCTAATGGCAGTTCTTTACGGTCTCTTGCGGTTTTTCTTGTCAGGTTCTAACTCTAAATGCCATTTCTTACAACTTTTCCCCATGTCATTTTTAGCCTTCCTGGCTCTCTTCCTCTCGGCATTTAGGCTCGTGCATCTCTTGACCCAATTGGTCTTATCCATTCTCTTCATATGCCCAAACCATCTCGGCCTGCCTCTACACAAAACTTTACCAATACCCAGCAGACCTTGTAGCTCTGCAGATGGCCTCTTGTCTTTTAGTGTCACATATCACACCCATTGTGCCAAATGCAAATCACTATGCAGTTTGGATATGCAATTAGGGCATAAAAATTTAAGAATGATAATGCAAAACAAAATTTGACATGCAACAGAATAATTTTATGGAAAGGCAGGCAAATTAGAGTTAAATGTGATGATGTAGCAAAGGTGCAAAAAGCCATAGAAAATAAAAGTTATTCATACTGGAGGCTGAGGAGAAAGTATAGGGGAAAAGCCAAGAAGGGAGTACAGTACAGTTAAGAAAATGATTAGAATTGTAAGATAAGGGTATAGACAAAGTAGGTAGTTACTTATGACTGAAGATTTATATTCGGTTCCAATTACCAAACTGACTATTCTATTGAGCCAACTCAAATAAAATGACAAAAGCCCAAAACTGAAATGATAAACAAGTGAAATTTAAAAAACTAAAACAAGCCACTTTTTATGCAACCTTCAGAAGTATATTTGAACAAGCTGTCTTTATATACATATATGCCTCAATGTTGTCGAAAGTATAAACAGGACGTTTTGGAGATATGTTTCATAATTGTGGGGGTGTATTCCAAAGACATACTGTACATAAAGATGAATGACATCATCACCATAAAGACAATACCCCATAGTTGTGGAGTTATACCACAAAATTGGGTAAGGGAAGACTGCCACAAGTCTATGGTTAAAACAAATTTAAGTCCTATTTAAAGTAAGTGGTACCAGTTGAGTAGGTCTATTGACATTCCACATGTAGTGACCCGTACGTCTCATCAGATACGACTCGTAATTGGCGTTTGGGCCAGCATTATTGGTGACCACTTAAAATTGACCTATATCTGCTACCCCAGTGACTAACAGGTGAAACACACATTTTCGTGAGGACACAGTGCCAGTGATGCTTGAGAATGTGCCCATCAGGATACATCAGCATCTGTGGTTATCCTGGTAGGTGGATAGGGTCCTATTCAATGGCCACCTAGATCACTTGACCTACAGGTAAACGCCCTTGACTTCTACTTGTGGGGTCATGTTAAAAGCAAAGTGTATGCTACAGAAGTCCCGACTCGTGAGGAATTGTGGTGCCAAGTGCAAGACAGTGCCACAAGCATTCACAATGCCCATGGAGTCTTCAAAAGTCAGAACGTGTACACATTCACTTTGGCGACGGGCTGAAGCCTACACCTCAGGAAGAGCGCCGGACCTTCGAACATTTACTGTAAAATCCCTATCAGATTGCATATGGTTATAAATAAATTGTACAGTACAAACAACACTGGATATTCCATTTATACTCCATAGTTTCCTCCCATTCCAACCCCAACTGTCATGTGTTATAACTCCGAAACTATGGGGTATTGACACTATGGTCATGAAGCCACTTATCGTTAGGCATGTCTCAGGAAAAAAATAAAAAATAATATATATATATATATATATATATATATATATATATATATATATATATATATATATATATATATATATATATATATATATATATATATATATATATATATATATATATATATATATATATGCCTTCCGGAGACTGGACTCCGCTGGAGGCCAGTGACCACTGTACAGTACAGTAAATGCGGTCTATCCATATTGGTACTCCATATATTGACAAGTATGGTGTATGTGTATACAGTATTTACGTGAATGTGTGCGTAATTGTCTGCAGAGCACGCTGACAATAAAGACAGCACCTTTTCCTCCTTTATTACTTTCAGTTTTCCCGCTACTGCCTTCAACAGTATCCCGGGGATTGGCAGAGCTTAATGATAACACCTATAACCTGAAACCGCCCACTACTGGATCCCCAGGCAGAAACACGGTTACTCTACGTGGTAACCAGTGGGTGTATTGAGGCGATGATACACAGAGGGAGGGCTGTGGCAAGTGTGTAGGGTGAGAGTGGACGACGTTGAGGAATCGGACGCGGTATTGTGGACGTCAGCAGGCCCAGGGTGGCGTCGGGGGAGGGGTAGTATACCCCTGGATACTCTCTTCTACAACTACACAGTATGGTACGTGAAGACGGTCGGCAGCAGCAAGAGTACATACAGTACCCCACACCTGCATTGAACTGATCCAGCAGGACAGGACTCAAGAGACACTTCAGCCAGGATAATGATACAGAAAACTATTGTTCATTATTATTCGCACTGATTTTTTAAGGTATGCTGGATTTTTATCTAAAAAAATAATCATGGTATAGATAGGTGCAAGTAGGAACTCGGGGTCAGGGGTTCAATTTCCTATGAAAAATCGTGGTCGTTTGATTATTTTCTTATATTGCAATGTTATTTTTTCCCCTTGAACGAATATGTAGTGATCGCTCGAAAAGATTCGGGTTTTTTGATGAATTAAATTTGTAAAAGGAATTCGTGCACGTTATTATTATATTGTTGTGGATAATTTTTATTACGGAAGATTTTGATGCGTGTGGGTATTTTTTGCGGATAATTGTGAGTGGATATTTATTTGTATGGATATTGCTTACGGAAACTGTATTTTGTTTCGCGTGAAATTTAATTTTACCACGGACAGCAGGTACCTAGTTTATTGCACTTCAATCTCATCCTGTGTGTTATACCGAAAAAATACAGAAAAGAAGTAACAAAAGTTACAAGCAAACCAAAGAGTAGGGTGGTCACTGCAGTAAGAGGGTTTTAACCAGATGTATGAGGTGTGAATATGACCACAAGGTGTATCATGCGTGGCAGGAGTGTGTGGAGGACGGCAGGACGGGGGAGGGCAACTATGGCACGGATACACTTCAAAGTGACGGCTCTGGCAGTATATCTTCTGGCGCTCGCTGTCTACAGCACCTTAATGCTTATATCCACCCTCGAGTCTGACCTGCGACACCAAGACCAGGATCATCAGCACGACCTAAAGAGCTACGAGGGGCAGGTGAACGAAGCGGCCCTCACAAGGGACCACAATCCCCGCTTCAGAAGGTAATGTGACCAAACCAGTTTGCAGCTTCCGGTGTTCCTGCAGTGTGTCACTGTGTGTGTGTGTGTGTAAAAATCAGGGTTGCCAACTCGGATTTTCAAATGTCGCTCGGCTGGTACCTAAAAGTAGCTAAATGTCGCTAAATCTTCCATGGAAAGTCGCTAGCTATTATTTCCCCCCTTCAGTAATTTGATGCAAATAATATTTTCATAATGCCGACTATAATGGACGGAGTATAAATAAAATGCATTATGTAAAAATATCATTTTTCAGATTTTCTGTGAAATGTGGCGCAAGAATATTGCATATTACCCCAGAACACTTTGATCTTTTTAACTTGAGTTCACTGCCTGCCTTGCTGTCACTAAAACATACTTTACACACTTCACTTAAGTGTTCTACCACACGAATAGAACAATGTTCAGCTACAAACATGGCCAGAGTTCCCTCCACTTTTTTTGTTTCACCAAGTTTCTTGAATGGTAAAATTGTCTCTTTCTGCACTAAACGGCTATTCTGCTTTCTTGTGTTTTTTAGTGTTTTTGTGTTTTTCAATGTCGCACAACTTAGCAGACAAAGTACACTTGCAAAATTTACAAAATCCTTTTTTATTATCTCCTGGCACCTCCAGAAGCCAATTTTTGTATCTGTCATCTCTGAGCCATTCCTTCCTAAATCGCTGCGAATACTGTGGCTTACCCATTTTCTATTGGGACTATGAAGGGTTCAAATTAATAAACAGCATGCAAACAAGCGGAAACTTTACTTGATGGTTTTTGGCACAGCGGGTGAACAGTGTCGACTTGCGGGGCAACTGTATGGAGTCTATGGGTCACCCATGGTGGACGCGGATGAGAAGTTTGGAACCACGCAGGCTTGATAGAATTAATTCTATAAGATGTTTTGCTAATATTCTTTAAAATTTAGCGTATTAATGAAATTCATATTGCATATCTGACAAAGAGGTAAGTTACCCAGGTGCTACAAAGGCGAAGGTAATAGACAAATAAATGACGACACGGCAACATTAGCCATGGACGGGCTGACATCAAGTGATCAGGAAATAGACGTGTCCCTCCTTCTGTACCACGACCCGTTCAAATGTATTAAACTTTTCTTATTATTTATTGTCCCTGTAACCCCGTTGCTATATATTATGGCTCGAAATTAGGAAAACTGAGTTTTCATGGACAGTCCAAAAGTATCCAGAAAGTCGCTAGATTTCTGTGGATATCTCTAGATTTGCGACAAGTCGCAAATCGCTCTAAAATGTCGCTAGAAAAAAACAAAAAGCTCTAGATCTAGCTACAAAGTCGCTAAGTTGGCAACTCTGGTAAAAATTGAATGTAATATAGTTTTCTAATGCAAATGACTGGTAGTATGCATTTAGACATTCATTTTGCCCAGTTCGTAAAATGTGTTCCTAACATAACCTAAAACAGATTTGGTTTGGTATGGTTCGGTTAGGTTATGTTAGGAACACATTTTACGAACTGAGCAACATCACAAACGGGACGTAGCACACACTGTTATACAAAAACGTTTTTTTTTTATTTACCTGTATTTATTTTTTTAGCGAGAATACACTAAGATCTTGAACCGGGTTTGTAACAATTTATATTCTTTCTCGAAGCTAAAGATCAGAAAACTCGTCTGCCTTATTTACCCAAACACACACACACACAAAAAACAGATCCATATCTGATACAACTCCAAACAAATTTAACGTAAGATGCTTTGGGAATGCTGACTCGGGTGATGTAGCAGGTGACTCAGGTCAGTTACCTCATATTTGTTTACGTGTGCACCAGGGCAGTTGACCACCATTGGCTGAGGACCGTCCAGGACTTCTACACCAGGTTGAAGACCACCGAGACCAGCTGCACCAAGTTGATCCAGCTGGGCGGCTCCTTCTGCAGAGGGTAGGTACAGGACCCTTCCCTCAGCTGCTATTGTAGGTGGGTTGAGAGACTTACAAGCATCATCACCATTAAGTTAAATATTATATTCGATATATCACTCCTTATTGGGGGCAAGAAAGGTGTAAAATGAAGTGATAAGTTGAACTGGTGGGCTTGTGATGTACACTGCACCACACAACTGACATATTACGCTGCTAAACATCTCGACTCGTTGCAGGAACATAGACAACGACAAGTTCTTATGTCTGGATGACGACGTGACGCTCACGCCCGGCAACTGCACCGTCTACTCCTTTGGCATCGGCGACGACTCCACCTTCGATGACCAGGTGGGTGTTGTTGGACTCTCCTAGGCCACTTTGAAATATCTTTTTATTTATCTATTCACAATTTGTACAGCATTCCAATTCCCTCTGGCAGTCTTATAAATCCACTTACTTTTTCCGTCGTTTAAAAATTTGGATTATTTACATCCATATAATGTTAGGCAATGCTTAAACACTTTTATGGTTATTATCTTCGAAGGAAATTATTTTATGTGTGAGGGGCGATATGATCGAGGTGTATAAATGGAAGTCAGGGCTAAACAAAGAGGACATTACAAAGGTACTCAAACTATCCAACCAGGAGCGAACTCGTAGAATTGGTTTTAAATTAGATAAATTTAGATTTAGGCGGGAAATGGTAAACATTTGTTTGGAAATAGAGTAGTGGACAAGTGGAACAAGTTACCAAACATCATCATTAACTCGAATACGCTGGATAGCTCCAAACATAGGGGTTGGGTGTAAATGGGACTTCCCAGTATGGGTCAATAGGCCCGCTGCAGTTTCTTATGTTCTTATGTTCTCCCCAGGCCAACTTCTATGGGTGTGATGTATTCATGTTCGACCCCACCATCGACCAGGAACCTGTCCTCAGCACCAACTACAAGAGGCAGCACTTCTACTCCCTGGGATTAGACATAAAAAAAAATGTAAGTCACCAATGTAATCTGGGATGTATTGTAATGAAAAGGTCTCTATATAAAACCCAAGAATCTAAATTGTATGTAAGAGCGGAGAAGAGAAAAGAGAGAGGGGGAGAGAGAATCGACAGCATCAGATGGAACAAATAATAGTATTCTGGACGAAAGGGATTACAAAATCATTTAATTTTATTTCTAAGCAGATGGCATAAACTTAACCTAACCCAAAAACTACCATCCATATATAAAGTGATCTAACCCAAAACTACCTTTGAGTCATTAGTTTTGAACCAACCAATTTAGTTCATGCCATCTATTAAACAAATGTTTTGGCAATCCCATTGTTTACGAGTGACCGTATAGGAGGTGCTATGATGAGACCTACTGTACCGTGCCGTTGTTGTTATTATTGGTGTAGCTGAGACAAAGATTGTGTCCAACTGTAACAATATAACAGTGGTTGTGAGGGTAACAGTAGTTGTGAGGATAAAAGTGTTGAATGATGGTGGTTGTTTTTTGCAGCAGAACCACACGACGAAAGTGAAATACGTGGACAACAACGAGACGAAGACTATCCATGGTGAGTTAGACACTTATGATGGCATACGCGCCCGCCTCCACCACCAGCACCGTACTGTCCACTACCTCAAGGTGAGTCACTCTCATCTTAGTATGTCGGGGTGTAAATGTGTTGCTGTGGCTGTGTAGGTGTATTACTGTAGCTGTGTATAGGTTAGGATGTATAGAGGATATACATTAAATTGAATTGGACAATAAAAAAGATGATAATGTTTTCGGCACAAGTGGAGGTAAGATACGAAGGCGACATAAAGATTAAACTACAAATTTTAGACGCAAGATGAGGCAACTGTAAGCAGAGGTATTTAAGTGGGTGAAAGGAATTAATAAAGGGGATATAGATAAAGTTCTTATAATACCCGAGCAGGATAGGACTCGGAGCAACGGATTTAAGTTGGATAAGTTTAGGTTTAGGAGGGAGATAGGAAGGAACTGGTTCACAAATAGGGTGGTGGACGAGTGGAACAAGCTTAGCAACTTTGTAGTAAGTGCGGGAACGCTGTAAAGTTTCAAAAGGAGGCTGGATAGATTCATGGATGATAGAGAGTGGAAGTGACTCTCGACAGGAGCTGCCATGCACAGGCCAACCGGCCTATTGCAGACTCCTTATTTTCTTATGTTCTTATGTTCTTATGAGCGTAAGAAAAATTAATAATGACAAGACCTGAGGAGTTGATCAACTTACAGGAATGAGATGAAATATTTTATGCCAATTTACTTCGAGAAAATGATGTTGAGAAGTTATGTTCAATACTGTTGTATAGGCCAGAAGCGTGGACACTTTGAGGACATATCAGGAGAATAGAGACATGAAAAATATGGTTCTACAAGAGAATGGTAGTGAGAAGTTATGATGATTGAGAAACAATTGAAGAAATACGAACACTGGTTAGATAAATGAGAAAATACTGGAAATTTATAGAATAAGATAGATACTTTGACTATAAGTACTGTATATAGGCCAGAGGTAATAGTGGTAAAAATGTTAGTAGTTAAATTTGAGGGTAACATGACCTGGGTTGTACGAATTGAATTTATAAAATGCGTTCCCGGAGAGATGTAAGATCTGGAAGGATTCGTAAAAATAGCCCAAAAATGTTTCCTGGATTGTGCATGAGCCAACAGGTGTCAGTAACTGGGCTATCCTTGAGCACTTAACTGTAGCTGTGACTGTACATCCGAGTGTGACTGTAATGGTAGTCTTGGATATAAGCGTTGTTTGTGTTGTAACAGCTGGACATCGAAGCCAATGAGTGGCGGGTGTTGCCGTACATGATGGAGCGAGGACTGCTGGACGGCGTGAGGCAGCTGGCTATCGAGGTTCACACAATGAACATCATCAAAGCCCCACAACACATGGTCAGTATTACCTCTAGTTATGTTCCCTGAGAGAGAGAGAGAGAGAGATCCATGTGGGCGATACTGTGAACTTTGATTTTATGATGTGGAAATTTTCATGGTCTTTTTAACACTTGATTGGTTAGGAATTGCTAGTTCAACATCGGCAGAGGGTGACGTTACGATATCGGAACATTAACTTCTCTGAATTAGAGACAAAATTCCGTCGAGTTATTATAATATCCGAGCAGGATAGGACTCGGAACAACGGATTCAAGTTGGATAAGTTTAGGTTTAGGAGGGAGATAGGAAGGAACTGGTTTACAAATAGGGTGGTGGACGAGTGGAACAAGCTTAGCAACTTTGTAGTAAGTGCTGGAACGCTGGAAAGTTTCAAAGGGAGGCTGGATAGATTCATGGATGATAGAGAGTGGTAGTAACTCTCGACAGGAGCTGCCATGCACAGGTCAACTGGCCTATTGCAGACTCCTTATTTTCTTATGTTCTTCTTATGTTCTCATTTCAACCTCACTGCTATAACGTTCGTAAAGGAAATGATAACGTCACAGTTTCGTCACATTAACACATTGGAGAATACCTAACCAAACTTTAATTACCAGGACAATAACCTTCTGATATCGTATCGTTAACCACTTCGTATGGCAGAGGATAAAGCTACAATACTAAAAACTTTCGAAACCTTGTATAAGTTTAACCAGCAGGACGTTAACAAGTGCGCTTAAAATATCAAGTACAGGTAACAGTAACATCGCTCCATGGCAGGTACTGGACATGCTGAGAGGGTACTGGACGGTGCTGATGGGCCTCACGAGGATGGGGTTCCTGCGGGCTGTCTACCGCCCCACAGTGGTCCTGGAGTCACTTTACACCGTCCCGGGCGACAACACCACCATTCCTACCTGCTTTGAGGTCCTCTTCCTGCGCCGGGGACCTGTCTACTGAGGAGGATTTCCCTACCTGTCTTGAGGACCTCTGCCTGAGCTAAGGCCCTTATTAACATAAACAAATGTCATATAATCCAGTCACATTACACTATTATTACAACACTCCCGCCAGATACAGTGTAGCTCTCACGTTATACCTACAACGCACAGGTAATACGAGTGACATCACAGCTGGACTCTGGCATTAGCGTCACGTTCCCGTCTCTCAAGTGCCCTCGCTCCTGTGTTTAGTCAACTCAGTGCGTGTGTTTACTGGTCGACTGATAACTTTTTTTCCTCGCACAGTAAAATATTCAGAAAAGACTCATCATATTTGGTTCCGGGAGTGACCAGACCAGACCAGACCAGACCAGATCCGCACTAACCCATTTATAAACATTCTTGGCCACCTTAGTTTTTTCTGTCTTAGTTTCCTTGATCTTCCTCTGATGACCTTTACGTCGTGATAAGTCAGTGTGTATTGTCTCTTGACCCAATCTCAAGACTATTAAATCACACACACACACACACACACACACACACGACTTCTTATGAACTTAGCTGTGTGAGTTTCAAGAGAACTTTGTAAATACCGAGTAGAAGTGAACATAGGGGATGTAAAGCAGAGAGAGCCAGTCTGATGGATGTGTTTCAGTGAAGGAGGGAACCAATTATTGCGGTGAAAATAACGATATCAACGAGACCTAAAAACTTGTCTTTCTTTTATGGGAAGAACTTTAGTTCTTTGTGTGTGTGTGTTGTTGTTGACTAGCACTCTCGTTCATAGTTTTCTTCAACGCGAACAGTAGAAGTATGAGAAACAAAATGGATGATATTAGGGCCTTGGTATGTACCGAAAAAATCGATATAATAGCATTCACTGAAACATGGATCAACCTAGACTCACGTGAGTTGCCGGTCGAATACCAAATTGCGGGTTACAAATTGTTCCATACCGATAGGCAAACCAGGAAAGGAGGCGGAGTAGCAATCTATGTTAGGGATAATCTGAAGTGCGAAATAAATAAGGAAATACAAACTTAGAGGAATACAGAAACAATTTGGATAGAATTAAGCGACGGTAGGGAAAAATTTATCACAGGAGTAATATATAGACCTCCCAATCTTGATAGAGTCAATGAGCGACTTATCTGGGATGAAATGCGCAGGGCTTCCATACACAACAAAGTCTGTATAGTAGGCGACTTTAACCTTGGCCAAATAGATTGGACTGACCTTACCGGTAACTCAGAATCAGAGGATTTTCTCGAGACGATCCAGGACTGTTTCCTAAGTCAACATATAACCGAACCCACACGGGGTAATAATATACTCGATTTAGTTCTGTCGAACAGAGAAAACCTCATTAGCAATGTCGAGGTAGGGAACGAACTTGCAAACAGAGATCACAAAGAAATTCGATTCCAGTTAGATTTTCAGGGCAGACGTAAGGAAAATTCCACTAAAGTACCAGATTTCAGAAGGGCAAACTTTGACAGTTTAAAGAGGCAGCTGAGAGAGGGGTTGTCGCGCTTGGCCGTGAACCTGACAGATAACTCCGACCTGATAACGACATCTGAGACTGCAGAGTTCCACGTCTATGTAAATAATGAGTTACTTAATGTACAGAGGCAGAACATATCATACAAAAAACTCAGATCAGACAACAATGACCCTAAATGGATATATAATTATTTAAAGAACATCATTGGCCAAAGGAAGGCTATAGGTAGAAGGATAAAGCGTGGCGAAATTTACCTCCAGGATTATTATAAGATATTGGCGAGTAGGGTTAAAACCGAGATAAGAAAAGCCAAGAGGAATAATGAGGTAAGGATAGCAAGGGAGGCGAAGACAAACCCCAAAGGATTCTACCAAATGTATCAAACTAAAACACGAGAAAAGAGTGGACCAATACGGTCAGATACCGGCGAGCTCACTGATAACGACGTAGAAATGAGCAATAATTTGAATAAATATTTTTCAACAGTTTTCACCACCGAAAATTTAAACATGATACCCGAGGCACTGACTCTATTCAGAGATAGTGAAGAAAACAAATTAAGCGAGATAGTAGTGACTAGTAACGATGTTAGTAAGCAAATAGACAAACTAAAGCCTAATAAGTCACCTGGTCCCGATGAGATATTTGCCAGAGTGTTAAAGGAATGTAAGGAAGAGCTTAGTATGCCCTTAGCAAAGTTGTTTAACATGTCCTTAAAAACAGGTGTAGTACCAGAATCCTGGAGGATAGCGAATGTAATACCGATTTTCAAGAAGGGGGATAGATCACTATCCTCTAACTACCGCCCAATCAGTCTAACATCAATAGTAGGCAAATTACTGGAAGCAATCATTTCAAACTCTATTCGAAATCACCTGGAGAAGCACAGATTGATCAATGATTCCCAGCATGGCTTCACAAGCGGACGTTCTTGTCTAACTAACCTATTAACATTCTTTTCATCAGTTTTCGAATAGGTGGACGAGGGGCACAATTATGATGTGGTATATCTCGACTTTAGCAAAGCCTTCGAGAGAGTCCCCCACGAAAGACTAATTAGAAAGGTAGAAGCTCATGGCATCAAAGGTAACATCCTTAAATGGATTAGGGCGTGGTTACAGGACAGGAAACAGCGAGTGAGCATTAACGGCACTAAGTCCCATTGGAGCAACGTCACAAGTGGAGTTCCCCAAGGCTCAGTACTTGGACCATTATTATTTATTATATACATAAACGACATAGATATCGGCATAGACAGCAACATAAGTAAATTTGCTGATGACACTAAAATAGGACGTGTTATTAAATCTGACGAGGACTCAGCAAAACTACAGGAAGATCTAAACAAATTCTTCGAATGGTCTGAAAAATGGCAGATGAAATTCAACGTGGACAAATGTAAAGTGCTCAGTATAGGAGATGTAAACAGGGAAACCAGATACCAGATGAACAACGATGCCATAGAGAAATCCGACTGCGAGAGAGATTTAGGAGTAATGATACGTAGGAACCTTAAGCCAAGTAAACAATGTGTTTTTGCTCGTAACAAGGCTAATAAAGTACTTGGGTTCATACAAAGGAGTGTTAGTTACAAGACTAGCGAGGTCATCCTAAAACTGTATCTTGCTCTTGTGAGACCACACCTGGATTACGCAGTTCAGTTCTGGTCACCGTATTACAGAATGGATATAGAATCCTTGGAAAGAATTCAGAGGAGAATGACAAGACTAATCCCGGGCATTAGGAACCTTGAGTATAGAGACAGGTTAAAGCATCTTAATTTGCACTCCTCGAGAGACGTAGAGCGAGGGGCGACCTGATGGGTGTATAAGTGGAAGGCAGGGGGGCTAAACAAAGGGGACATTACAAAGGTACTCAAACTATCCAACCAGGAGGCGAACTCGTAACAATGGTTTTAAATTAGACAAATTTAGATTTAGGCGTGAAATAGGTAAACACTGGTTTGGAAACAGAGTAGTGGATGAATGGAACAAGTTACCAAATATCATCATTAACTCGAATACGCTGGATAGCTTCAAACATAGGTTGGATGCTTATATGAGCAATAGGGGTTGGGTGTAAACGGGACTGCCCAGTATGGGCCAATAGACCCGCTGCAGTTTCCTTCATTCTTATGTTCTTATGTAGTTATGGTGAGTCTTACATTATTTTTACATTATTGTATTATGGGGAAGCAATGAACGAAATGATAATAACAAACTGTAATTTACTGGAGGAATAAAGTTAAATAAATCAAACTTTCATCTTTGTACTTCATGATTGACGCGAGTTTTCCTTTGTATTGTGTCCCGCCTCACCTCACCTCTGTTGGATCACCTCCACCTCACTCCCTCCCGTGGCATCATACCTCATCTCTAACTGTTGGTGCATGGCCACCTCTCTGACCCCCCTTGGTCACCCCCCCCCCCTAAGTTACAGCATGATCATGTAGACAATGTAGGTACTGTACACACACATTGGTCAAATAACCTTCACAAATATAAGTTTGTAAATTCAGTCTTATTACCAAACCTCTAAAATGAGATGTATGTCGACCTACTTGCTCTGCCATGTTGTATAACTGTATATAATACAGAATATTGACTGAAATAGTTCATGTGGGAAAATACATGAAGATTTTTCCCCTAAGCTGGTACAGTTCACCCACTTTCCACTGATGTACCACAGGTTCATAATAGAAAATATCACGGACTTGGTTCGACATGCAGGGTCAGCCACCCATGAGCCTTATGTGTTAGTGTATGACTAATTTCATTATTAAGGTTGTTTTTTTTACTGAGGTAGACGGGTAGCAGCACTCATTCACAGCACAAAAATCTTGATTGGCGTAACCCGCTGGCTACAGGAAGTGTCATCACACTTACGGTGGGAGGGACAAAGACGCTTCACAACATTCCTAATCGGATTTTCCAATTTTTTTAGTCTCCCCAGCCCGGGCTCCAGGTATCATTAACCTTGCGGTGGAGGTAACGAGTGTGTAGTCAAGCCCCGCCCCTTCTGCTGGCTCCGCCCCCGCTAGCTTGCCACGGAGGGGCGGGCGGGCCACGAGCTGTCAGTATGTATCGGGACGCTCTGTGGAGTGTTACATTTTGGCTTATTTATAATTACATTAGTGGTGTGATCATCGCGCGTGTGTGTGTGGTGACAAGTAGGGATGTACTGCACTCCGTGTGCTGTCAGTAGCAGTGTGTTGTGGCAGTACTGTGTCATGTGCAGGGCGTGACCTCATTACCCGTGTAACAAGACCTGGGTTGTGTACTGCTTGACCCAGCCAAGGTGAGTCCAAATTCACATTTCCTTTCATTCATAACTCTACTGAATTGTCGTATTTGTCAAGAGAGTGGAGGACGAGTTCTCTGCCAACTGTCATGGCTGTAAAATATTACCCGTTCCAGGAGGAGAAAGTAAACATGAGTAGGTCTACTGAATGTATTGCCAGGTGATGCCTCATTATCAGCCCTTGGAGGACGAGTGGGTTATGTCATCATTCTCAAAGAACATAAGAACATAAGAAAATAAGTCTGCAATAGGCCGGTTGGCCTGTGCATGGCAGCTCCTGTCGAGAGATACTACCACTCTCTATCATCCATGAATCTATCTAGCCTCCTTTTAAAACTTTCCAGCGTTCCAGCACTTACTACAAAGTTGCTAAGCTTGTTACACTCGTCCACCACTCTATTTGTGAACCAGTTCCTTCCTATCTCCCTCCTAAACCTAAACTTATCCAACTTAAATCCGTTGCTCCGAGTCCTATCCTGCTCGGATATTATAAGAACTTTATCTATATCACCTTTATTGATTCCTTTCATCCACTTAAATACTTCTATCATATCTCCCCGCACTCTTCGTCTTTCTAGGGAATGCAAGTTTAGTTTCTTTAACCTATCTTGATATGGAAGGTTTCTAAGTTCCGGAATCATTTTCGTCATTCTTTGTTGCACCGAATTCAGTGAATTGATATCAATTCTATAATAAGGGCACCAGAACTGAACCGCATAATCGAGGTGCGGCCTTTCTAACGCAAGATATAGTTGCAATAAGACCTCTGCACTCTTATTACTTACACTTCTAGATATAAAACCTAATACTCTGTTTGCCTTATTTCGAACATTAACGCACTGTTTTCTAGGCCGTATGTCCGGACTTACAAATACCCCTAAGTCTCTTTCACAAGTTGTTAAGGCTGTGTACATTGACAGTATTTGTTCTTCCAATATTAAGTACGCTGCACTTGCTGGTGTTGAATTTCATTTGCCATTTCTCTGACCACTCCTGCAGTTTATTTAAATCCTCCTGTAGTGCATTTGCATCCTGCCCTGAAGGTTTGAACGATCGTTCACTAA